GGGAGTTTACAGAAGTTTTTAAACCAACACCTTTATCTCATTCAACCACAGTCAAAATCTCTCTTTTTTCTTACCAACTTAGCATCGTTATGTTTTTAACCTTTTTGAATGGTGTTTCTGACATTATTTACCTCAAATGAGTCTTGTAACAGTTGTTATGCTCAGGACTGATATCAGTTTGGAGTTCACCACTTTTGCTCTTCTTTTTTCCCCACAGTCCTTCAAAAGTTCCTTGTTGTTTCAAAAGTCATCAGGAGTTAAACATCAGCCAGCTTTTAAAACACTTGGTAGGAATTAAACCAGAACTCCCACTCTGAGCCAAAAATGAAGGCAAGAGCCAAGGTGCGGATTCTATTTCTAACTGTAATCACTGAGTTTTGTAACATCTGGTAAACAACTTTGGGGAAGCCTGTTCCAGCTTTATATCCCATGTTCATACTTGGGCCATAATGTTCTGTCTTAGACCTGAAAATAGCCTTCTGTTTTAGGAGGCAGCTGTGGAAGCAGACTAAGGTGTTTGCTGATTGTTCTTCGTACTTAAGATAAAGACGAGTAGAACTGAAAGGCACTAGGAAAAAAAAAAGAAAAAAAAAGTTTTTTAGTTTTTGGTTTGGGTTGGCCAATATGATCTGCTAAACTACTTCTACTACGTCGAGTAAGTTTGTGTTTGCTCATTTTGTACACGAGACTTTGGCACAGCAGCACAGGAGAGAGAAGATGCTTTATCAAATGTCAAACGACAAGAACTGCCAGGAAAACAGAGCGAGGGCTATTGTATCTGATGTTCCTGTGTTTTATAGGGACCAGATTACAACTAAATCCCTTTTATTTTCTGTACTTTTGTCACATTGACAAGTATCAGATTCCAGTACAAGTACCAGTGAAATTGTACTATAGCACTGATAAATTAATTCCTACCACAGTAGACAGGACGATAAATTAGCAAATAAATGAGTTTAACAGAAAGGCTCTTGAACACATTTGCCTACATAACTGCTGCACTGGCCACACCATATGATTCTATTCCCTGGGAAGCATCAAAAAGGTAGTCAAGAGATACTGGCTGCTGCAGGAATAAAAATAATCATGTCCTGAGAGGATTCAATTGACACTCTGAATCATTATATGCTTTTATAGGTCAAACCTTGCCACTTCCCTCCCCAAGTAATTATTCCCAGTTATGGTTTTAACCATAAACTGCAGCCAGTTTTAAACACTTCAGCTAAGACATGAGATTTAAAGGCAAGGGAGGGCTAGTTTTTGCTTTTTTAAAAGAAAAAGAAAAAAGCTCAAACAGCTATCATGCAAAGTTTGCATTTTATTTTCTATTTTGTCCCTTGGTCATTTCTAGTTGTTATTAAAAAGCGTTTGGACAATGACAGAATGGTCAGGTGATTTTTTTTTCTCCCTGTGTAGCTCTTGACAATGAGCAGTCCATGTGGCTGGGCCAGGCTGCTCTGTGTGGTGTGGTCACAGCTGCCTGTCAAACAGAACTGCAAGGAGTACGTGTGAGAGCCATGAATGTGACCTGAAAATTCAGGAATGACTTCCACTCTTAGCCCCTTCATTCATGCATGGGGAGCATGCCAGGTGATTCTGGGGCAAGGTCACGTTAGGGAAAGAAGTGCAGGAGAGGAGAGGCCTTGGAAAGGAAGCAGCCAGAAGCACTACATGCTGTGGGTATTGGGAGCAGGTGAGTCAGGAGCCCTGGAATCATGAGAATGGGTTTAGGAATAGGTACAATTTCAAAAAAATTTGTAATGGAAACTTAGGAACTCCATTTTCTCCAGGAAGGCTTTCTGCCTAAGTGGTAACTCTTTCTCAAAGACAGTTTCAATGCTTTCCCCACCCCGCATGGCAAGAGAAGTTCTCAACCTCTCTCTCTGATATGTGAGAGAGGGAGTCCTAATAGACACGCACAGAGGTCTTGGGAAGACAGGAGAGAAACAGAGAGGATAAAGGGGCCCTGAGAGAGTGGGACCTCACCTTTTACCCCTGAAGTCCCAATGTGCTGTACCACATCATAAAAAACTGATCCTTGCATCTGAAATAAACCTTTTCTTTAATCCTTCCACTGCCTTGGCATACTTGGGAAGAATACCTACTTATGTTTTATCTTACAAGGGGCATGGAGAAAAACATGAATGAGAAGAACAGGAGTGAGAAAAGAGAAACTGTAGAGAGCAGGGCTAGAAGATGCTGAGATAAATAAATTCCTTAACAGACATGTCAGCAAACCAGGATGTGCTGCAAGACCCTTCAGACAGTCTCACCTGGCTGTGGCATAGCAAAACCCAAGAGTCAGTGAAACCAGGCATCTGTTAGTAAGGGGAAGGAGAGTTGGTATGAGACATTCGGCCCAGGAGCTTTTGCTAACTACACAAAACATGAAACTGTAATGGAGTGGAATAGTACTTATTTGAACAGGCTTACTGCCATGTGGCATGTTTATAACCCATATTTATAGTAAAAATATCAGTGAAATACTAGACAAAGGCTGTTTAAAACCTGTGGCTCTTTGACCTGGAATATTTTATTTTCTTGTCCTTGGCAAGGCTTGCTGAAGGTTCTACCATGCCTTGGATAGACAGTTGTTGTCCTGCCTCACCTGTGCACAGAGAGAAAGGCAGAGAGGCACGGATGTCACTTTTCCTCAGGGCTTCCCAAGTCATTGGCACTGTCGTGAAAGAAGCCTGATATCCTGACTTGATGGCATTGTTGCACAGACACCACATCAAGCTGCCTTGTCTGTTATTTTTCATATGACTGCAAAATGCAAAGTCTTTAATCAGAATGGGGGAGTACTTGGATTGGGCACCATGCAAACCTAGATAAATGGGGAAGGTATTAATCTCTGTATGAACACGATTGAGCAAGTACACTTTGTTATTTGTTCCAGTGAGTTGTATAATCCTGCTTCCCAGTCATCCAAATAGGATTTAGCATTGTCAACATGTTTTTCTTAATAGGATGATGCTATGAACTCATGTCTATGCAAGACTGGAAAGCCAGATTACATGCCTCAGGAGACTATATACTGGTTTTAGCTGTTAGTGAAATATGGTTTTTCAATGAATAGGACACAGACTTGAGGCTACCTTAGAGGGGAATTATCAAGATGTGGTGTGCCCCATGTAAGACCCCTCACAAACTTCAGAGGAGACAACCATTTAGTGCAGCAAATAAGCATCTTGGTTTCTTTAAAAAAAGTTTCAGCTGTTTCTTTTCCAAAAGAAATAGCATTTTAAGACTATCAAAAACTCTGTAACCCTTCTGTTAATTCAGAAATGTGCAATACTAAATACAGCTTAATGCATCTCCCCCTTCAAAAAAAACATCATTAGTAAATGCTGTTTTGCCAGGTTTCAAGCATTATTCTGTGACGTTACTAGTGTGATGCCCTGCAATTACACCACTTCAGAGGAGGAGTTGTTGCTTCTCATTAGCAAAAAATTTGCAGCACATTGTAAGTTCTAGCCTGTTGCTCCAATAGCAGTGTAAGGTGGCCCTGGGCTAATCATGAACCGGTTGTGCATTTTGTCAGGAATAAATCGGTATTAATCAAAGTATCATCACACTACCAGAAGTCATATTTCAACAGCCCTCCTGAAGCCTTTCCAGCCCTCTAGAATTACATATTTGAGGAGCCTCTGCAGCTGTACCCATGGGGGAAGGAGCAGAGCACAGTTCTCTCCTGGCCTGCCTGGCAGTATTGACATGTGCTACCCCATGTCAGACCTCCATAGGGCAAGGAAATTATGACAGAGCTGCATTTTCAACTCAAAAGAGCCTTTTGCAGCTGGCGGGACCTCAGGGTACCCCACTTTATGATATTTTGTGTGTGAGTCCTTAGTTTCAGCTAGAACTGCAGGGGCTATTATTTTTTAAACACTATCTACAAAGAGAAATGTGTTGCACATCAAAATTCATATCCTTTTTCTCAGAGCTGTGTATGGAAGGAACATGGCAGGTAAAAGAGTTGCAAATTTTGATCATGCATCATTCCTATTTGCATTGCTAAAAGTAAGGTTCTGTCAAAAGCTGGCAAATTGTGAAATGCTTTGCATCATACATGAATATGCCCCTGTGGGCTTCTGTGGTCTTGGGTAACTCATTTCCCCTTCTTATCTCTGTGTTTTCTTATTATTATTTTATAATACGTAATATATTCCATATTAAACGGTGTAATATCCTATATAGCAATAATGCTTAAAAGAATAGGTATTCTTATTTCTTCTCTCACTTGCATATTTTCAGGAAGATCAGAAGATCATAGAATCACTAATGGGTTGGATTGGAGGAGACCTTAAAGATCATCTAGTTCCAACCCCCCCTTCCAAGTGTCCCTGGAAGGCAGGGACACCTTCCACTAGACCAGGTTGCTCAGAGCCCCATCCAACTTGGCCTTGAACACTTTGGAGATGGGTCACCCACCATTTCTTTTGTCCCAGTCCCAAAAGACTAAGCCTGTTCTGTTCTTTTAGTGTGTGAGGGGCTAGCAGAAGTGTCACCCTACTCTTCTCAGCCTGAGTTCAACCAATACAGAAAGCAGACTTTCTTGACATTGCGGTCTGCACAGAGCACAGTGGCAGCCTGACTTTGGTCACCCAACTCTTTGTATGTAGACTTGAATTCTCACTCGACTGCCTCAGCTCTTCTGTTTTACCTGCCTCAACTTCTTTCTAGGATAAGGGAAAGAATGTGCAAGGGGTGGAAACAGAACATTGCCATGCTCTTTTATCCCTCCAATAGCTCATTACTTACTGTGTGAGTGATGTAATGGAGTCCTGGCTCACACTGATTTCAAATTCAGATGTGTGCTGAGCATGGAAGCAGCAAGAGCCAAATGTAAATAGTATGATTGCATTCTCTGTTCCTTGGTATTAAGAGGAGGAGACAGAATAGTTTTTGCTGGTGAGAAGAAGAATTAAGAGTGATATCTGTGACTTGATCATTGATTAAACTGGAAAGGGTTGTTTTTTTCATATTTGCGTGTACAGACAAGGATCAACAGAAAAGAGACAGACTAATTCAAACCCTTGAAAAATATAAGAAGGATCTTGTACGCAGTCTTCCTGCCACACCATTCAACTCCAGAAGTGTTTCTCCAAGCCAGCAGAAGGTATGTGATATTCTAACAAGTAGTGCTGAGTCACATGAATAAGACCATTTTCCCCTTAATTAGCTGTACTCTGTGGTGCTGGGGAGTGCCTGTAACACAAGTTTCATGCAGGTTTATTCAATGTAGCTTTTTATTCAATAGTCTAGTGAAGCAGAGATAATATTTGACTCTCAATCTTGCCAAGTGGCAGCTGTCCTCCCATGGCACTGTTGCAATCCCTTCATGGCCTACAATGACAGATACTCATGTTATGACTACGTGTACATGACTAAAATATGTCCCTGCTCTGAAAGTGTCATGTGTGCATGACACTCACAAGGCCAGAGTATTACGTGGGAGCCCAGGAAAAAACCTAGATTGAGTGAATTTACTGAAATGATTTGCTGTTTTGTGTGGCAACATTCTTATTAGGATGATTTCTGTACACAATATTTTCAAGAGAATGAAATCCCAATAATTTTTTTTCCTCTGACTGAATGCAATGCAATACCTTTACGTTGTTTTACAGTATCCTCTGAATTCCAGAATGTTATTTACTGATAAAAGCAAGACTCTGAAGTAATTATTCCCAATTCTGAGTATTCTGCTAGATACCAGAAACTGTACAACCTCATACTAGTGAGAGTAGACCTTTCTTCACCAAATTCTACCAGTGGACCTCACTTCACCATACAAATTCTTGCAAAATGTTTCATTCTGCCATAGTCCAGAGTCTCTCTGGGACAAAAATTCCTCAGCAGACTATATTTAGACTGGTTTACCACTAGAATACAAATTATACTGTTAATAAACAATGTCATCCAATTCAAATGTGCATTATTTTGATTTGTAAAATCTTGCTCCCAGTGAAATAAATAGCAAAATGGTAGGCCACAATTTCGCCTGAGGTATTTGTGAGGCAAACAATGGCTCTGTTTGACTTCAAACTCATGAGATGGAGCCATGCTCACACCTGCACAGGCACACACAGAGAGAGAATAGAAGATGTCATTGAAGAAGGACCATGAGACTGACATTGAGTCATGAATTTCATAGATGGGAACACACAATGTGCAAGGCAGAAAAAAGTGTCCTGTTCTCCCTCTGTGAGCCCTGGCAATCAAAATGGGATTTCTGTAATTTCACAAGACTATTTGTCATTAGAAATCTCAACCTTGTAAAGAGGAGGAAAGAAAAAGAAACTAGGAAGAAGACTGGTTAACCAGCTCAAGCACAGTGGCAGTTTTGCTTTACTCCTAACTGCAGTTCCCAAAACAAAATAAATCATTTAGACCACTTGAAACCAATTGACTCAGTTTGAAAACAGTTTCTTAAAATTCCTCCTATGTGAGTTAATTTGTGGGAGGCACTGTCTTCAGTGAATTCTTTTGTGATTTTTTCTGTCAGTTTTATTCTTTAACTTACAGATGAGGTGGTCACTGTTGGAAAATGGTCACCCATATTTGACATCTGGTCGGAACAACTCTTCCGGAACAAAGAGAGAGCAGCCCCCCTCTGTATCATTTCAGAAGTTCACTTCAAGGACTCTGATGCCAGCTCCTGCTGCAAGAAGGTCTATCCCAAATAGTGCTCCATGTGCTTTGTCTCAGATTCCTGTTCACAGCTCCAGTACAGACAGATCATCTTCTTCACTGCTCCTGCGATCTCGCGTGCGTTTGGGCAGTCGCAACGCGAAGAAGGCATTTCAAAACTCTGTTCATAAAACATGCTCTGGGGACCTCCTTGACAGACATTCAGCCTACTTTACAGAAAAGAAGCAGTGTTTTAGCCCTCGGATCTTAAAGACATCACATCAATCTTTTCTTGTGAAGTATAGGTATTATAATCCTCCTTCAAGAAAAAGGAGCTCCTCCCCTAGCAGACCATCATTTAAATCATCAGATATCAATAACAAAAAGAAAAGCGAGTTGCACAGGTACTTATATCAGTGCTAGAAGTTAAGTAATTCTGCTTTCAAACACCTAATTTGAATCATAACTCTTTCTCACCATGCTTTTAATCTTTCAGATTTTTAGAAGATTCACATGTGAGACCACATTCTGTTCACTTCTCTCAGCAGCCAGTTGAGGTTGGTGTACTCAGTGTGTTACAAAGTAAAAAGACTGAAACATACTGTTCATACACAAAAGTGTCCTGGTTATGTGGAAATGAAATGGATAATGGATTCATTGGCTTTGGGGAATATATGTTAAGAGCAAAACCAAAAAATTTAATCTTCTTATGAGAAGTGACTAAGATTGCAATTGAGAAACTTATCATGCAGGGCTAGATAGGGTCAACAGACACTGTGAATAAAATAGGAACAGCTAAAGTAACTGGGCTCTCTGAGAAACACAAATGAGGCATTATGCTCTATGAAAAACACTGTATCCCAACACAAATCTGCTCTTCTGAAAGCAGAGCTCTTCCCTACTTTACTGACCTCTTACTTTTTGGTTGGTTTACAGCCTTTCAGTCCATACAAATAATAACTTGGAGCCCATAAATGTCCAGACAAAGTGCTATTCTCTCAGTCTGTGGTCACTATTGTAGTATTTGTACAAGACTTTGTCTGGAAGTTGTACTCCATTAGTCATCTGGGTTTTTGAGATGAATGGTGGATTGATTTCATGAATTTTAGTGCTCTTAAAAATAAGAGCTGCTTAACAGTAACTAAGGCAATAGCTGAAGATAGAGAAATTTTGCATGATTCCTTGGCCCACACACCCCTTTACAGAATCCATGTTGAATTTCTACACAGCTCTGCCAAGGCACCACAGATATGATTTTTGATAGCCCTATGCTAGATTGTACTATTTGATTCCTTGCTCAAAACCACCAAAACCTTCGTTTAACAATATTATCAAGAGAAGCTCCTATCCTCACTTGATGAGCCACAGCAAAAGATATTTTTTATATCAATCTGATTTTCTAAGTCCTCTTTCAAAGATACAAATGTATTTTGCATTTCCTTCTAACGAAAAAGTACGAAGTCCGCGAAGATTTTCAATTTTGTCAGAATTTCTTATTTCCTTCATAGCATTTGCATAATTTCTCTCAGATTGTACAAACTGGTTTCCATTTCTGGAAATGGACAAGTTTGTTCTCACATGAACGAACCTAATAATAATATTGTTCATTATTTGAGTGATTGAATCTCAAGACGTTTATTTCACATGAGCTGCCATGTGATGTTGTTGCGATTTTGATATGTTGTGAAATCAGATCATTTCCCCAGGTACTCTGAATGGAAATACATAATGTTAATACAAAGATAATTAAACAAATTATCTACATTTACCTCCTTTTCCCTTTTGTGGCAGAACTGTGAATTGTGGATTCAGAATTCTGAAATGCCACTTTTTCCAGAATTACAACTTGAAGAAAAGTAAGTTAAATATTTGTTTGTCACTTTTAACTGTTTCTAAGTTTCATATCAAAATATTAAAGTAGGAGTTTGGTGGAAAATTGAAAACAAGGCACAAGAGCCAATTACCAATAGCTGTATGTAGTGAGAAGAGGGACTCTACTGGGAATGCGGGATTCAGTTACTTCCTCGGGAAATCATAAAGCTGGAAGACCTTTTCTTAGTCATACCACTCCTCTTACTCTAGGCAAAATAATTATGGTAAGGATAAATAATAAATAAACAATATTAATAGTAATTTATCTTCTGATACCTACACTTTGTTCATTGGAACTGTTTTTAACTGTTTATTCACAAAAGGCATAGATATTCTTGTTTAATGAAATTAATGGATTAAAGTAACTGGGAGTTGACCAACAGAGCTGTCAAAATTTGTCATTTTAAAACTTATAGATCTGAATAGTAAAAAAATGCAAACTAGTAAACAGATTCATCACTTTTGGATAGGTTGGCAAAACTCTTTATTTGAGCTAGTTTAATTACTCTAAAACTTCTGCTTCTTTGGATGGTATTGTAAACCTTACTTGCATTCAGTATATGTTAGAGAAAGATGCTGACAACCTCTGTATTTGTATAGAGAAGAAGAGTATCTTCGCTTTCTTCAAGATCTCACCAATGATATTTTGACTAGAAGTTGTTATCACAGAGAGTAAGTGCTTTGCCTTTCATATTTATTCCTTTGAGTAACAAAATTTTGACCAATTATTCAATCAGTGTAAAGAATTGGTGGTTTTAATGAGAGACTTAGGCCCCACCTTAAATACAGAGAACTACTACCCTGTGATGGAGAACACCAATACTCTAACATTTTTATTAAATGTGAAAGAAGAAATTGGAATTATATACATGAAAGGAGCATAGTTCCTTCCAAACTGTGTGCACTTGGAATGGCAATATCCAACAACCTTAAAATCCTTAATATTTTAGTTACTTACATGTACAGTAGGGATAGGGAGGGGATGGAGCAAAAGTGAAAAGCTGGGATGCATTTTAAGCGATCAGAAAGACAAGCTGAGTCGTTATTTTTCATTTTAAAAGTTTACGGCCTTTGAACCGTTGGATTTTTTGCACTGATGTTCCTCTTTTTTTTTCTTTTAAGGGCATTAGAAGATGTATTTCAAATGCACATTAAAAGTAAGAGGCATAACCTTGATGAGGTGAGCAAAAAATATCTAGTATTAAATCTTCTGTCACCTCCAGTAGAAATGTTGTATATCAGTGCTGAGCAACAATTTACGGCAGATTGACTAGCACGCAATTTAATACAAGGCAAGAAGAAACTCCCTCTGCAAAAGCATCAGTAAGGGCATTTTCCATGGAGCACTGGTAAAGAGAGATTTTTCTGTACATTTTTGTGTATTACTCTAATAAGTTTTCTAAAAGACAGATAATGTAGTTAGCATGCAGAATGGCTTTCATTACACAAAACCTGTTCATGAAGAATGCTTGTTGCTGCACTTTTTTGCTATGACTGCCATTTTTTGGAGCAAGAGAGGCTTGTAGGCTGTGACTAGATCAAGTAAGAAGACTTTGTGTTTCAACAGCTTGTGTTTAAGAGTTTGGTAACCACTTAATACTCTAAGTCCAATATGAAGTCTCCCCATGTGGTGCCTGCTGAGAACTATACACCTCAAAATGCTTATCTGAACATCTCCCTTGCTGAGAGGGAAGAGTCATGTGGAGGGGCAATAGGAAATGCCAGGCACAAATATACAGCCACAGTCTGTCTCTCTCCTCTGCAAGTCTGGCATCTTATCTAGGATGAGTGGAAGCACCTTTGCCTGTTTTAATCTAGGGTTTAGAGCCCTCTCCTGAGAGCAGGGCTTATAACTGCTCTTTGAAAAATTGTAAGGAACACACTGTTTTCCTTTTAAAAGTCATTCACAGAGAAGGTGGCATTAGTGGTGTTGTCATTGTCATTATCTTTATCTTTGCTGTTATCCCAGATTGGTTGAAGCATTTGGCCATGAAATGGGGTAGGCAGCTTCCAATGTCTTCCCCAGATTGAGGAAACCCAAATCCAACACTTTACCTCCTGAGCAGATAACTCAGCTGGGCTTTTGAACTAATTCCTTTAGGTTAGATAGTAGGAGCAAAGTGGGAGACACTAGCGCTCCAAACTGAGGTTGCAGCACTCATTTAAAAGGCACTAGGTTTTCCTCCTTCCCAATAACTGATAATATGAATTCCTTCTTCTTTAAAGTCTGTATTAAAGGAAAGAAAATGAAATAAAAACACTTTCCTAAGGGCCTGCAGCAGAACTGTCAGCTCCACAGAGAGTGCGAGAGTTCAGTCACAGCCTTCCACTTGCACTGCCTGCCAGCTGCTTGTTGAGGGGTCCCTGCCCCCTCAAGCACAGGGCTTGGGTCATGGGGCTCTTTCATCCAACGCTTCTCCTATCTCCCACAGGGAGTAAGACTGCTAATTCCAGCCTTGAGAGGGATTTGATGCTTCAGTCCTCCTTTAGATCTGACATTAAAGGCCTCTATACGAAAAGGCTTATCATTGAGTCTGATGACCCAAAGAATTAATGGTCAAGGGCTTGGACATGCACTCCAAAGCTCATATAACTTCAGCAGATTCAGATGGGAACATTTCTGAGGGACTGGCATAGTATGGCTTTTAAATGAGCTACCTTTGCCTATTTGTTCCTGCAAATTTGTAAGCATTTAGTATTGTATTTTCTTTAACACTAGGCATGTGGGAGTTACATGCATGATTTGAACATTGAATAAATAACGATCAGAGGAATTATAAAATAATTAGAATGCAGAATGTTATTTTGTCTTTCAAAGTGCTACAATTAGGGGAGAGATGGTGTTTTGGTAACTGTTTGGTTGCTGGAATGAATGACAGTCAGTAGGTGAAAAAGTGTTTGAGAAATGACCTGAGCTGGAATTAGTGACATTTAAGTTGGTTTGTGGGAAAAAAATCAGCAGCTGCACCTCAGTTTGAGAGGATATGTAATTTACATCTGACTAGAGGATGCTGAGCATATTTGTAAGGTCAACTGTTGCCTTAGAGATAGAGCTGAGAAACCTTTAATAGAAAATTGAAGGTACATGGTTCCTTCCAGAAGGAGGAGTTTGTAAACAGTAGCAGATTTCTACTATGTCCTACTGCAAAATGTTTGATATCTAGGAATGCATTGTTCTGAACCTGAGTAGAGCTTAAGCCTGGTGTTTTCCCCTCTAAAAATACTGACTGAAGACTTTAAAGAAACTCGGAAAAGAGAAATAAAAGTAATTGGCCAATAATTGATTTAAAAATTTTTGCATGTTTAGCCACACAATGATGAAAGGAAAAAGAACCAAACTACCTCTCTGTATTAGAAGAACACAGCACATAGGAGAAAGAATTGTTCTTTGAAAAGATTAAATGAGAAGTGTAAACATAACTTACACAGGAGAAGCTTGTGAGCAATGACATTTATTAGAACAGGCATAGTTCCCACAAGAGAAGTAATGGAAGCTGAATTGCTTTCAGGCTTTTAAAAGTGAATTGGCCAGTGGATGGAAATGAATTCCACAGCGAGTGGACTTTTGTCCTACAAAAATATTTTTTCCCTTTTCATTTGTTGTCTTCAAACCAAACTCTTTTTGTTTACTATCACTGTTTTCTGGACCAGACAGACAAAATAATAAGATGAAACATCTCTCAAGGTCTTTGTAGTGTCTTTTTTTACCCATCCTGGATACCTGCCAACTTGTTATTTGGGTACTTCCTTCCCTGGACTCTGCTCTGCTGTGTGCTTACTATCCAAAACCAACACACCCCTCTCCAAGTTCCTGCTGGCATTTGCTCCAGCACAGTGTCTGAGATCTGTTCCCTAAAACAACCTCCACTTTGGTCTACTGCCAGTTCGTACATCATGAGGGTGCTTAAACCCATCCAAATGCATGGCTTGACCCACCATCCATGTTTGGCCCCACATCACAGCCAAGCAATCCTCACCACTTACCAGGGGATTCATGGCTTTAGTACCTGCAGCCTCTTCTCCAGCTTTGAGAAAGAGAATAGCACCATTGCTCTTCCAAGGAGAAGGTTACACACTCAATGGGATATTACACAGTAACTGAGGGAAAGAAAAAAGTAATTAATTGCCTAATTCTGTTAGGGGAAAAAATAGATAACTGCATAGCAAAGAAGAAGAGAGTGAAGAAAGAATATAGGAAACGGATGGAGGAAAGAAAGAAAGAGCCTTTTTAAATGACTGGCATCTTCACCTTAGATGCTGTTCTCTACATACCTGCATCTCATAATTATTGGTGTAAAGTGAGGCACAAAGGGCAGTTTTATCACTGGACTCCTGCTCAAGGTAATTTTCAATCTGATTCATCAAGTTGTCAGAGGAGCAATTTTTAATTTTTTTTTTGCTTCAGAACATGTAATTTCAAATAGCATGTCCAGGAGAAAGCATGCACCAGTCCTTCCACCAAGATTTATTTCTGCTGTTCACGCTGTTTCACTACCTCTGCAAGCTGCATTCAGTGGTCTAATTAGAAATCTTCAGCTGAGGCTTCTTTTCACCTGCCCAGCACTGGATGTTCAAACATTCTTCTATGTTTTAGAACTATAATTAATTAGCACACTAATTAAGGAACTGCAGAGTTTTTCTAACAAATTTTCACACAGCAAACAGGTTCCCCTCTTTTCTGTAGTACTGAAATGGTCTCCACTCAGGAAAGCTTGTAAAAGTTGGGGTTTTTTTATCTAGCCACTTGCTCAAATCCAACATCAGGCCATTTTATACCTTAGAAGTGCAAGGAGGACATTTCTGCTACAGAAACTGATCCATACTCAGATACAGTTCAAGAAGCCATCAATTCAATGAAAGATATTTCCTTAAGAAGAAAAAAAAATGTTGGTTCTTGCTAAGAGGTACAGGTAAAAGGGTAGCTCTTATAATCCAGGAAAGTGGAAAAAGTGTCCCTCCTGGACTTGAAATAGCCACTGAAATGGGAGAGGAAAGAATGGGTGAATAATTTCAGGAAATTGAGGGGAAACTAAACAGTACCTGCAGGGGTGAGGGATCCACTGCCCATCAGTCTTCCAATGAGCAAACTGGTTCAACTAACTTATTTCCTGGAATTTTATCATCTAAAGCCAAAAGCTTCTGAAGACACAAAGTAGTATCTTACACTTGGTTTATGTCTTTGCTTTTAGGAGGATCATAAAGTGTTCATGCTTAAAACAGTACAGTGTAATGACACCAAAATCTTTTATCTCAGGTGAGGGGAAGACAGCTGATAAATGGCATCCAGCAGTGTTACCAAACATTTCAGGACAGGAACATAGAACAGCACAGGCAGCTGAACACCATAGTGGTGTGGAAGCTGAAAGGCCATTTTATTTAACCAAACAAAATTATTTCTTTTCATTACTGTGTGAGTATAGCCTCAGTGATAAGACCTGGCAGGAAGTGTCATAGGGTCTTTCATAGCCCTCAGTGGAAAGGTCTATTTTAACATTTCTAAGGCAAAAAAATCCTTTTTTGATGTGCCACACCCCAGCACTATCTTGAGTCACACTGAAGCAGACACAGGAGAAAGCAACGTCTGCTTAATCCCTGGCACTATCTCCTACATGTTCTTTGCCCTTCCCTTCTTCAAGTGCCATACCCTTTCTACTTAGCCCATCATGTCTCGTGGGACTGCTTTAGGAGGAGATACATCAGAAACAAGTGTGGTTTGGGACGCTAATGCAATAATTAGTGGCTTAATCATCAAAGTGAATAAGCAACTTACCAACAGTCCCTTTCAGCTCTGTGCACTGCTACCATTTAAATACAGAATTTTGTAATGTACCGTAATTAGATACTGCACATGGGAAAGTCTTAAAAGTAAACCAGTAAAAATGAAAATGACTGCTCTGAGATGAGCATAGGACCCAAGTTTATTCTTCTCACAACAGAAAAGGTCAGTGATCTGGTATGTGGAAACTTTCTTCTAAACCAATACTAACCCAGTGGCCCCATCACATGCAGAAAGGGAAATGTCCTGTGAAACAAGTTCTCTTCGTCGTGGGACTTAAAGTAGGAATCTTCTATTTTGGCAAAGCGACATGGCTAATATTTTTCAGAAATTCCAGCATGAATAGTTTAATTTTAGTTTCTTAAAATTCTTCTGATTTTCAATTGGATGTACTAATTTCACTGCCTGCTCTGGCCATATATATTGTGTAGCTCTCTCTATTTCATATGCACATTCAGAAGTGTGCTTGCAGTGGCAAATACCCATTTCTTCAAGTACACAGGTATCTGCCTATGGAAACCAGAGTTTCCATACATGCAGACAACTGGAAAATTGGATGAGTATCACGTAGACATGGTCCATCTCACTACCGGTGGACATGTGTGCAGTAGAATCTTCACACCTGCATAGCTGACAGCTTTGATTGCTTCAGCCACTAAACTCAAGCCTAATCCCAAACTATGATTTAGTTATATGTCACCAAGGTTCAAAATGAGATCTAGAGGGGACACTTGCATAGCTAAAACACAGTTAACTCACATAGTTACAACATAGGATTGAATCTGCTGGCTCAGCACTGTGCAGGCCTGACCACAAACTCTCACGGTTCTCACAATCTTCCATAGCATTGGCTGCTGTACTGGATTTTTCCCTATTGTTGAAGGTTCACTTTAGCAGTCAACTCAGCAAAACAGAACACAGAAGATAAAAAATTACCTCATAATATTTACAAAGAGTAGTCTTGGGAATAGGTTTTAGTAACTCTTGTATTAGTCCAGAAATTATTGTAAGAATCCTTTTAGAGCCATAGGTTTTAAAGTTGCTCTTTTCATTGTTCTTGGGTATTTCTTAATGGCCATAAACTTCTCAAAAGAATAAGATACTGAAGACTGCAAATCTTATCAGTCAGTTTGACACGTGGATAGGAATCCATTGGATCCCTATCACAAGGAGTTTGTATTGCTCCATATTTTCTGAGCACTGGTATGCTGAGCTACAAAAATGATTTCTTTTGAAGCACTGGACATTATGTGTTTCCAGCTCATGGAGAGTGCACATTGTCTTTAATAAGTTTCAACAAGAGCAACAAATTTTCTGTTAAAGTGCTTAAGATTGAGTGCCCATTGTAATGATCTTCAAATTAAACCAGAGCTTTAAAATTTTCCCAGTAAGCTCCTCAGAGTCTGCCCGTCCTTTTTCCCTTTCGCTATGACAGCTTCTAGACTCCATTCCATGTCATGAATACCCACAGGTCTTCCTCTACAGAACAAAAAGGCCATCATGATTATCGTCTCCTAATAAAGCAAAGCCGAGTGAGGATGGTCTAGCAATCCTAATTAAATAACCCATAATTCCTTTTCCGTTTGATTCATTCTTATGGTAATATTAATAATTTTCTCAGTCTTGAGTAAGTCAAACCATACTGGTCAGGCACTCTCAGTGCATTCTACAATCATCTGCCACTGAGAATCTAGTCACGTATTTTTCAAGATAGGTGAACTGTTTGCCTGCTTACTTAACTGTCTGCAATCTCAGCTATGGACTGCAGATTTCATCACCATTTTCCTTTCTCCCATTATGATTACACTTGATCACTTACGTATTTAGCTGCAATTGTCTTGGCTCTTTTAAAGGTTGAAATACAAAAACACACAGAGTCGCAGAAAAACATGGGGAAAAGGCCTGTTTTGCTCCAATGAATTCTGGATGTTCAAGTTGGTGTCTTACCTCTGAGGAACCTGTGCACATGGTAGGCATAACCTTGGACTACATGCAGTCCTAAGCTTTAATGTGGCAGTCTTCCACATTATTCTTATGAAGAGAAGGAAAATTTGCTGCTACTTTATGCAGTGTGTTTCATGGAGCTCTGCTCCAGGGTAGTTTACTGGAGTCCACCTCTTCTGCACTCTTGCCTCTGTGCTTCTTTCCAGAATGGGATTTTCCAGGAGGGTTTAGCTAAAAGAGAGATAATCTGGACTGCAAAATTTCTTGCAAAGGAAAAAGAAAGTCTCTGAGACTACTTGAGTGAGTTAGAGGAAATAAATGAATGAGATAGTGGGGACAAAAGTGAAACACCTACTTAACTGAAACTTCATTTCAGTCGTTTTCTCCAGTTAATTAAGTATTGAGGAAAATGGATGCAGAAAGCACATTTTAAAGCAATCAAGTACTGCCAGAAATCAAACCAGCAATTTGAAAAGAGAACAACACTGCTCTCTGGCATCTGACAAAATAAGATATTTGACAGGGAACAATATGTGCAGTACTGGTTAATTGGGAGGCGAGGAGAAGAATAATCATAGCTGCATTACTGAATTTATAGAAGTATCTCCAGTGTACCACAGGGACAATGTGAATTTGTGGAATCCTCCTGCCTGCTACAGCAAGCCAGCAATCTCTTACATTCCCATCAACATTTTTTTCAATGTAGCCTAGACAGCAATGCAGAAATAGCAACTGTGGTGGCTGAAACCAGGAGAACTGCCTTTAAAATGACTGCAAAATCCCCCACTTTTCTCTGCTGATGAAGAGATATGGGATAAGAAACAAGTGGGGAAAAAAATCTTCATTAGTGCTTGCTCTCCTTTGCTAGCCTTCATCAGAGCAGGGAACAACCCTTTACCAGTTATCTGGCTATGGAATATGGCTATTCCAGCACCAGTCCTACAACAGGTTAGTTGACTGTGTGTATCAGGATTAGAGCAAATAAAAGACTATTTTCCCCAGTTTTTAGTTCTAAGCTGTAGCCAAATACAATGTGAACTCAACCCGCCAACTAACCTACATTTTAGAAGCTCTGGCAGAGCATTTAAGGCTGTATTGTCTTCCCTGCAGTTGGTTCACTGACCTTTCATTTTTTCCCATGTCATTTTAGCACATTAAAATGATGATTACAACACAAGCATGCTGCTTTGTCAAAGAAGTTAGCAAAGGGGATTGAGACACCTGAACAAATAATTTAGTACCCTTCCTACACATACTGACAACACTGTGTAAGGGGATGTGCAGTTAGTGGGACATTGTTATTTAGACTCTTTGATATAAACCAATACTTTCATGGGTAGCTGCCTGTCTCAGCAGTAGATTTGTTGATCTGAAGATAATATCAAAAGCCAGACAAAAAACACTCATATAAAAAGAGAGGTAGAAGAGCAGCTAACCAAGTTAAACAAGCAGTTGAGCAAGTAGAAGATTCAGGAATCACAAAGCAGATTCTTTCCCTCTGTAATAGCTCACAAGATATTGACAAGAAACAAAAATCAAAGTGGTCATCTCCTTTACTACTTTTAGCCTCTATGATTGGAATCCAAGTTAATTAAGTTAATCTAAAATTAATTTAATCCAAACTATGCTCCCATCAGGAGAACTAAAATCTTCCATCCCTCAGTGCCAGGCAGTGCTTAAAGCCATGCATATCTTTAAATACCAACAATAGTGCTGAAAACAGAGTATTTTTCAACTTGGGATCAAAAGAAGACAGAATATTTCCCTTTCTCTATACTAAAAAAAAAAAAAAAAAAAAATTGAAGCAGTCCCCAAGCACAATTAATAATTTCCCACTTCCCTGTTTTGCCTCTAAAACAGAAAAAATCAGTAGTCTGATGTGGGTACACAGTCTTCATGAAAAGTCAGTCTTCTTTCACAAGATCAAGTGTATTTACACTGATTTTATGTGGTACTCAGCAGGCTGCCTAAATAAAGGAACCCTGAAACACTGCCTAGTACAGAGCAGACTCTCACTAAGCTTTCATCTGTCTAATTTATGAAGCACAGTAGCAGAAAAGCAAAATACAGAAAGCTGTTGATTTTTCTGTGCACCCATCTATCATCAGAGCTTTCACTGAAGTGTTTCAACAGCTGAATTGTCAATAGAGATCATGATTTTTCTGCTGTTAAAAAAGCTTCCAGGCAGACAAATAAAACCATGCAAAAATCTAAGCAGATTTAGCTATTTTATAGCAATATCCTGTTTTTCTGAGTTCCATAGTTTCTGAACTCTACACTGAAATAAGTGCTTAGGTGTGCCTATCTATGGGTGTGTCAAAGAACATGCACACGCACATATACATACAGAGATCATCTCCTGTCACAAGAAATATACGTAGACTAGTCCATATATAATGCAAATTCACATTGCTTTTGAGTACTGCTATTGCAGTCTGCTTTCACCATAGTCCACCTTGCATTCAGTTGTCAACATCGTTAAGAAGTTCAAACAGCTGTTTTCAATTGTTGTTTTCTGCAAAAAATTACTGGCAGCCTTTTGTAATTTGTGGCTATTTAGGATAAGACAGCAAAAGCAGAGGGAGGTGGAATCATTTTAAGGGTTAGACAGCTGAAATCTCAAATAGGAGGAACAAGGAAACTAGCTCTGGGACAAGTACGGAGTGTTCTCTGGCACCTGGGCCATGGAGTGGCACTGCTTTCCCTACTGTACAGTGTTCAGATTGTCCACCACTGTGGACTGTTCACCATATCAACTGTAGGGCACATCAACAAAATTAGTAAGTTGGATAGCCAGAGTGTGATTCTTCTTTCAGCTCCATCTCTCCCTCCCACTGGCTGTTACTGGAGTGTCAGACCCTTCTGAGTGGTCCTGCTGTGAGCCAGCAGACATTAGTGATGGCAGCACTGCACCCAATGGTGGAACTGCAGTGCAGTGCAGAGCATCTGCTGGAAGCTGAGGCTTGAGAAAGTAGCACAGGACCATGTTCAATAAATGGCTTTTTTCCTACTAAGGATTAATTTTTTAAAAATTTGTACAAACTCGACCCAAATGGTAGTTATTTAATTGTGGCTATGCCACAGGAAGCACAGGGCTATCTGAGCCCTGCCACTGCTGTATTGTTTCTGCACTCAAGGTTTGGAGAACTCCTGATTATCCCTGAGCCAAGAGGACTCCAGAAGTCGGGCCAGGACATGACCTGGGAACATTTTGAATTCTGACACATGAGACAGCAGTTGGCCCTTAATAATAGTCACGGACAAGCAGCAGATGAACAAATCTCTTTTTATGTTTTTCTTTCATTACTAGGTAAAAATGAGAAGAATAGTTCAAAGCCTGAAGAAAGAGCTGAACATCACAAACCAACCATACCTTTCCATCAGCTGTGAGGGCACATGGCAAAAGGACGCCAACATTCCTGCAACATGCTTTTAACTCACAATTTTGGGCATTTCAGAGAGCATTCAAAATCAGTTGGGACAGCAAACTAGTTTTTACACCAATTACAATGTAAACCTTGGTTAAACAGGAAAATGAAGAAGAGATCCACCTAATGCATCTGCCCGTGATGTAACACAGTATCACTATGGTAACAACCAGGTTAGCATGCTGAGAACAATACCAGAGCATCAAAGACATTTTTACAGGGGCTTTCACAATCAGAATAGAAAGCCAGATACAAGTGTCCTTTCATTCGTTACAGATAGTTGACAATCCTATGAGAAATCCTGATAAAGCACTTGGACTTTTTCCTCTGCATGCTTGATATACAGATAGGTTGGAAATTAAGTTTTCAATACAGCTTCCCTATGTGAATTGCAACCTGGAATCTCATCAGTTTGCAAGAGGATGTAGAATATTAAGTCCCACTTTCAAGAGATTTAGGCAATAATCTAAGATCTCTTTATAATCTTAACCTATATTAGCTCATATGTCAAAAAGCTAAGACTAGCTAGTACCACGTTACATACTAGTTACTGAAAAAAACACAGGCATTATAATCTTTCAAAATGCAAACATTTCACGCTTAATGAAATCTAAACACTTATAAAATACAAGTGCAGTCAAGTAGGAAAATATGTAACTACTAAAGCCTCAATCCTTTCTTTTACTGATGATATTCGCTTCTTTCATTATAACATAGTTGTTTAAATTTGTCTGGTTAAGATTAGACAGCTTTCTAAAGATAGATGTTTTTTCCACACTCTTCTCCAAGTGGGACACTTTTCAAGGCATCAGATTAAAATAGAAAAACAATGATTGGGATAAATAAAACATACCAGTTTTGTTTGGGTTTATTCTGTTGTCCGCTACCAGTGGCTCTTCACATACCGGCTTCTACCTTGAGACTTAATTTTTTTAAAAATTGCTAATTCCACAGATGATCCCTAAAGAAGTTCATCACATAAAACCTGTCTGAAATAATTTAATTTTTACAAGCAGCTTTGTCAGTATCCTGACAGAAGATGAGGCAATAAAATGCATCCTTTAAGATGGGCCCCTTTCAGTCTCTCTGGAAGATGCCTCTAGGCATAGTGCCACAAGGATTGTTTTAATTACCTAATACTTAAGTTAAAAACAATTTGAGATGTTTAAGAAAAAGCCACAAGGTTTACTGATCCTACACCAACCATAGATAACCTTAGTTAGTGAAGGATAGCTCATATAAGATTTTGTTCTTTTGAACCATACAAAGTATTTTTGATTGTCTCATTTGTTACTCATTTGATACAAATGCTGAATTTCTTTAAAGTTTTTTTCAGTTAGACTGATGAGTAGATTGTTTGTTCTCATAAACTGACTGTGTTCTAAAAGACAATGCTGCAAACAAGGCAGAATAATGGTGTGTATGTGTATGTAAAAAGAGAAAAACACTGCTTTGAGCATAAAATTAACTCACCCTCAAGTAGAAGGTCTCATCACAGAAGCAATTGATACACTTTGAAAGTTCAACTTAAAACAAAGGTATTATCTTTTATTTAAAGTTAAAGAATCCTTTTCAAGGAGTAGAAAACATTATTACCCATTTTTGTTGAAAGGAGAAACGTCTTTCTGACAGAATAACAACATGAAAATGCCTCTCTGCTGTGCATCTTGGAGTCTTAGGGCGCTACTGCTCATGTAGAAGAGCTTGATTTTCCTAATACCTGGCCAGGGTAGGTGAGCATAAGAAATATGAATTATCAGAAAGTAATTTCTCGTTCAGTTGGATAATGACTGATGTAGTTGGTGTCACTCTTTTCTATAGCATAAAATTGCTCTGTGCTACTGAGCAAGCCCAGTTAGACCATTGAAATCCACAAGCAGAAGTTTGCTGGGGTGAGCGTATTTGTAATGAATCATCCTAAATTCAAGTGCACTTTGATGAACTAGATGGAGTTATTTAAATGCTATTTCCAGGTAAGTTACTGTCTTTTGGTACCTCAAATATGATTTTTCTGAAATGAAAAGGAGTATTCTAACTGAGGGCATTCTATGCAGATATTTCCTGACACCTGACCATTTTTCCAACACATCCACTCTCATTACATCAGGTACAAGCCTCCTCAGGTACAATGATTTCCATATAAAGTGACAGATTTTATGTTAAGCATTGTCAGGGTGAAGGGTGACCTGCAGAGAAGCAGACAGCAGTTGTTCATGGAACAAGCACAAATGTGTTGTTACAGTGTCCTTTCTGGCCAAGAACAAAGTACTCCCCCCCAGTTTGCAGAGGATTGCTGGCTGGCCAAGGGCCATTTTGCAGAAGTGAAGATTAATGTTGTAAGAACTTCAGCTATGGTCAAAGCCAGTACATACTGGGAAGTACAAAGAGATGGTTTGCCAGATGCTTGGTTTCAGGGAAAACAGACTTGGTTTCAAGGAATATTCTTTGGCTTTGTTTGGACCATGTCTCATCCCCCTTTGCATAATATTAGTCCATCAGGAAGAAGGGATACCAAGACACAGCACACTAGACCTCTGCACTGGATGCATCTTATATTTGTTTTTATATTTTGTCTTGGATTTAGAAATTATGTCAGTGCTTCATTTTAAATCATCCAATGGTGTTTGCATCATTTTTCCTATTTTTAGAGATACTTAAATGAATTTATTTGCCATTTTTAAATCAACCATTCATACTCAAAAAAAATGACAACAATGGCAACATGTGGTTCGCTTTTTCCATGGTTTAATTTTTTAACAGATTTATAAAGAACTATTTACAGAAAATTCTACAATTATAATTCTACAATTATATCCGTCCATTACTATTTCACAAGTTTGAGTGACTATTGGTATTAGTAAATATTCAAAAACAAGCTTTACAGATCCCATATATCGTTAATCATTGGATAAGAGAAAATGGTGCCTTCCATATAGTTCTGATATTTATTTTACAAACTGGGTTTTAATCATCAGTTATTCTCAGTTGTGATTAAGTCTACATAGATTTACTGCACCTTACAATTTTCTTTTTGCTCATCTTGCTCAGATAATCCTTGTTCATTTAGAGAATTTTTTGCTTTGTGCATCATATGACTCTCACTAGTATTATCAGAGAGAGGTTTTGTGGATTGTTTACACAGGCAAAGTGGTGACCTTGAAGTAGAATTCTTTGGTGGAAAAGCTGTTACTGCTTGGGACTGCTGCTCATCATTTTCCTGTAATACAAACAAAAATATCATTGTTTACTGGTAATGGAAAACCATATTAGCTTTCTGCAGTGGGTCAAAAGACTTGCTGCAAAAGCCCAAATATTGGGGATTTGGAAAAAACCCACAGACATATTGAAAACAGAAAAAAAAAAATTAACACATTTATCACTTTCAATATACAATACGGTGAGACTTGTTAACAGTTGTTCTGGTGTGGTGCAAGATGGAATATCTGTTACACAGCTGGTAAGCTATTTGCTAGAAGCAGAAAAAAAAACTACCCCAGAAACAGACAGTACTTCTAATCTGTTAACTAAGGTACCTAGTATTGTGTACCATGATCTGTATTTCAATTTTCTGTACATACAATGCAAAAATAAAACATAGGCATCACTTTTTTGCTGACATCTGGACAGAAACCACTGCTTTCACATTTTAACTGATGTGCAGTCAAAGCAGTCAATTCACATAGAAAATTCACATAGAAAAGTGAATAAATTTGCGTATGAAAATGATAGGCACATTTTAAACACCTTGAGAAATTTGCAACAGTTTGAAACTGGATATTTAAAATGAAGTACATACAAGTACCTGTCAAAGAGAAGGAAACAAGGTTTATTTCACTTTTAAAATAAGAGACACCATTTACTGTATTAACATAAAGCATGAAACAGCACGTTTCAATAAATGAAATTATGAGCATTCCTCCAGAAATTCCCAGATGTACGTCATCTTGAAAGAAAACAAACACACATGTCCAGCAACATCCAAGAGAGAAGGGCATAAATTCCTGGAACTGATGAGTTTTTTGCGTATTTACACTTGAGGGAAGAAAAAAAACAACCCCGAAATCTTTATTTTTCCTATCTAGTTGAAGGTAAGGAGTAGCCTGTCCTTAGACCTAGACAATACAAGCTTAGACAAAGAGGAGGACTGCTTGGGAAATTCCTCCTCCAGTTAAATTAGAAAAAAATTATTATGGATTGCTTGTTATTTGTTGTAACCTTGAATATGATCAGCAAGAGCCTAAAACAAGCTTACACCATGCCAGCAGGTGATTACTACACAACTTTCTGCAACCAAGGCTTCCTTTCTTTTTGCGCTACTGAGATTGTTTACAAGCAACACCATTTCTTTCTAATGTTACAGGGAAACGTACATAAATGAGTGTAAATAAAGGTTATTGGCATCACTTAATGAAACAGTAACAAAACACAGACCTCCAGGCAATGTCTGTAAGAAGCAGCAAATTTTGGCAAGTAGGGTAATTATCCCTTGAAACAACATACCCAAATTCAGTGGATTCACTCTCACTGCAAAATAAAGATTTCATATGGCTATAGTTCCAAAAAAATTATGGCTCTGACCTGACCTGTCTTCCCAATGGTGCTTTCTGGCCTCAAAATCTATACATCCACTAAACTATGTGTTACTTGCCTTTACTTACTTTGGTATCTTGCCAACACACTTTATGTGCTAATACAAAATAACTGCATTTAAAAAAAAACCAAAACAAACAAGAATGAAAAAATCAAGAGAAAACCAAAAAGTTGTGCACCAGATTGAACTGATTGCCAAGAGGATGCTTTTGTGTAACCTGGCAAACTGGAAGAATTTTTATATACTGACATATTTCTATGTAGCCCTCAGATAAAGAACTATCAATATCTAATAGCTATTCTCTTATTGCTCAGCTTGAGACAGCATGCTTAAAAACTTTGAAGGAGATATCGGACAACAAAAGTTTATTTCTGTCCTAAAGCTGGAACACTTTTCTATACTCTGCAAAGCGCTTGCATCAGCTTAGAAAGAATGTCTTATTCTGATGTTCTATGAAACATTCAGCAGTGTGTCTATTACTGAAAACACTTGAAAAGTTAATGTAAACTTCAGTTACTAACCTTTTTTTAATAAAAATCCACTTTCAAAATCTAACTGTGTAGTATTTATCCGTTTTGGTAACATCAAAATCTGTAAGGATGAGCAAGCTGATCTAGTAGAAGACTTCCCTGTCCACAGCAGGGAAGTTGGAACTACATGATCTTTAAGGTCCCTTCCAACAAAAAACATTCTATATGATAGTTTCTTTACTATCTAAATGTTCCCTATTTAAATGTTTAACAGCGTCTCAAATATCTGTAGTTATTTTACAGCACCTGTAACTTGGAATTCCAAGACAAGTTGTTTGCAGAAAACTTTAAACTCAGACTCCCAGAGGTTAATCCTTTTGGTGTTTACTTCTTCTGAAACCTAAGAAACCACAGTATAAGGAATATCTGCTCTTTAGCATCCATTATAAGAAATTGAAAATATACCTGTATTGAATTTACATTTCTCAGTGGTTTCTCCCCATGAGGTCACAAATAACACCACACAATCAATTTACAGATTGGTGGCCTAGTGGTTAGCATGCGGGACTCTCACCGCTGCGACCCAGGTTCGAATCCCAGTCCCCCCGGGCAGATGGAGCCCGTTAGCCCTGTGAGGCCATCCATCTATGAGAAGGTCACTCTAA